AGCAGGAATAGGAAAAGAAATAGCATTCATCATAGTTTCAGGTGTTTTGTTTTTCTTTGGACTGCAACTCCTGCAATGAATGGTATACTTGCATTTTAGTATGTTTTTTAAAATATGGAGCGTAATCTATCTCAGTGTGCTTTTTCATGTGATTTTTAATGTTTACTTTAGCTTCACTTTCTGTCTTCAGAAACCATCTTGATTTTCTTCCTGTGTTCCATGTTTCATGTTATGAATAAGTACTTTTTATGATTCAGGTCAAGCCCCGGATATGAGTGTCTCCAATGCGCAGCAAAAGCTTCCCGCGCCACCCCCTAGTGGGAGACCTTCTCCTGCCCCACCTGCTGCCCAGCCTGCTGCCACCATGCCTGGGCCTTCTGTACCACAGCCAGCACCTGGACAGCCTTCACCCATAGTTCAGCTGCAGCAAAAGCAGAATCGCATCAGCCCCATCCAGAAGCCACAAGGACTGGATCCTGTTGAAATACTCCAAGAACGTGAATATAGGTAAAAGCAAATAACAAGATTCAAATGCATATGCAGGTTGTTTTTCACTTTCTCAACTGAAACTCCTTGCAGTAAGCTACTGTGGTGATAATAGTATAAACTGAGTTTCCGGAGAGAGAGTGTGTCAAAGAGAAGTACAGAAATGTCAAACCAAACAATGATGTAATTCTACCCCAAGTTATGAACTAGTAAAGCATACTGGCAGTATCATTGCAAACCAGGTAAGTTTAAAACAGGCTCAAGGACTTTGCTTGGTTAGTGTATTCGTTGGATGCTGTAAACACTGAAAGTTAGGAAATCAAGATCCTTGTAGTGTACAGATAAAGCATTCAGTGCAGAAAGTTTTCAGAATTATAAACAAAAGGGAAGGTAGAAGAGAACAATGGAGGTCAAAAGGCTGATGAGTTAGTGGCCACAGCAAAACCAAATTTATTAGTGATGATGGGGTTGGCTGGACTAGCAGAGTAGAGAGAATACGAAGGAAGTCACAGGCAAGATCAGAAAAAAAAAGGTTACCAAGAAGCATGATTTTTAAAAGTTTCCTCCTGAGTGCCGTAACGAGATGGTTAATTACATTCATTATAAAGTATAGCTTATGACACTTCTTGTGGAGTTAGAAAGAGACTTCTTCCCTCTTCCTATCAACAAGGCTATTAAACAGTTGACCTTGAGAATCTGCCAGGCAGAAGGATCTTCATCTGTACCTAAAACATGTTCCTGATCATTATCAGTCAGAGGAAATAAACTGCACTTAGTGTATTTGCTTGTTTTGGACTGATGGTGCATCTTCCGGTTACTGTAACAATGAAGTTGTAGGGGAAGCTAGCCAAAAGGGATGGTGATCTCACTGACGACTTGTTTAATGACTTTGGCTTTCACAGAACCTTAGAATCGTTTAGGTCAGAAGAGAACTTTAAGATCATCAAGTCGGACCTTTAACCTAGCACTGCCAAGTCCACCACTAAACCATGTCCTTAGGCACCACATCTATGTGTCTTTCTAAATACCTCTAGGAACGGTGACTCAGTCATTTCCCTGGGCTGACTCTTCCAGTGTTTGACAACCCTTTTGGTGAAGAAATTTTTCCTAATACCCAATCTAAACCTCCCCTGGCACAACTTGAGGCTGTTTCCTCTTGTTCTATCACTTGTTATTTGTGAGAAGAGATCAACACTCACCTCACCACAACCTCCTTTCAGGTAGCTGTAGACACTGATAAGGCCTCCCCTCAGCCTCCTTTTCTCCAAGCTAAACAACCCCAGTTCCCTTAAGAGCTGCTCCTCTTAAGACTTGTGCTCCAAACCCCTCACCAGCTTCATTGCCCTTCTTTGGACACGCTTCAGCAGCTCAATGTCCTTCCTGTAGTGAGGGGCGCAAAACTGAACAGAGTATGCGGTGTGTCCTCTCCAGTGCCGAGTACAGGGGCATGATAACTTCCCTACTCCTGCTGGCCACACTATTTCTGATACAGGCCAGGACGCTGTTGGGCTTCCTGGCCACCTGGGCACACTACTAGCTTATATTCAGCTGGCTGTCAGCCAGCACCCCCAGGTTGTTTTCTGCTGAGCAGCTCTCCAGCCACTCTTTCACAAGCCTGTAGCGTTCCTTGGGGTTGTTGTGACCCAAGTGGAGGAGCTGGCACTTAGTCTTGTTGCATCTCATATGGTTGGCCTCCCCCCATTGATCCAGCCTATTCGGATCCCTCTGTAGAGTCTTCCTACCCTCAAGCAGATCAACA